TAGTGGCTCCTCTGCAAAGCAACTACAATAGGATTTGTCATCTTGGTACTCTGTAGAGCCAGGGGTGTCAGCCTTCTTTAGCATGGAAAGCAAGTTTGTCAGAATCAAGGCATGATTTCTGCTGATAAAGCTGGTCTGTCTGCCACCATAGGGAAGCTATGAGATCGTCAACTCTTGGGCTGGCCAGAATGGGCATATTTTTGCAGACTGTGTCTGGCTGTTGCCTCCAGCTTGCCTTCTCAGAAGTCCGCTCTGGAATGCAGACTTCACCCATTGCATCAGGAGCCATCTCCGTGCACACCCAGCTACTTAGTGGGGGCCTGCCACATTGGAGAACCCCACAGATCAGCAGCCCCTTGAAGGAGTTGCACAAGCGGCAGGTACTAGGCTGCAGAGGATCTGTTTGCTAAGAAATGCAAGCTGCTGACCTAGATCCTTGGTTTTTCCATGTTAGTTGTACTTAAAATTTTGTTTGTGTTTCTGCTACCAGAGCTGAGCACCCTATTAAATTGTCGCTCCTGTGACATTTAGTAGAACAAAAACATGAATCCAGTTGCAGAGATGGAATGTTTAACCATGAGATTGGTCCTGATAAATACTTCATTGGGGAGGGAGGATTCTGTCCTTGTGTGAACATCATAGATTGTGAATAAACAGAGACAGCTGTGACATGCTTCATATCTATCTACCATCTGCTGTCACCTGAACATCATTGTGTAGGATGGGACTGTATATCAAATAAAACACAGGCTACTCTAACCCTTAACTCCTCTGTAGGGACACACTGTTAACCTCTGCCTTAAAATAGGTGGATTGCTTTCCCTATGGTTAGTGGGGTCTCAGGGGTGATTGTGGCCTGTCTCCCTAGTACCACAAAGGCAGATCACCTGAGGAAATACTTCTATAGGGAAAAGTCAGGCTAGGAGCCTGGGATTCTTTTCACCTAGTGAAGCATAAGAGAACTGTGTATAATTAACAGGAAGGTAAAAATATCAGCTCAGTTCATTCATTCATTCATTCATTCATTCACTCACTCAATAGATTCAACAACTGTGCTGGGCAGAGTCTCGAGCCAGAGCAAAGCTTCCTGACCTCATGGGCCTGACACCCAAATTAGGCCAGTGGTGCCAGTGGCTCACACCTATAAACCTAGTTACTCAGGAGGCTGAGATCAGAGGACTGAGTTCATAGACAACCCTAGAGAGAAGAATCCACAAGATTCTGTCTCCAGTTAACTAGCAAAAAAAAAAAAAGCCAGACTTGGGAGGTGTGGCTTCAAATGGTAAAATACCAGCTATGAGGTAAGCAAGCCAAATGAGAGTGAGTGCAAACCCCTGAGCTCAAACTCCAATACCTATGCATACACGCACATGTGCACACGCACACACATACTAGTGGAAACCACCAACAACAACCATGAGTTAGTTGCTGATTAAATGAGGCAGTGAGTGCAAGACTAGAAGCAGAGCAGGGTAAAGACAGCAGAGGGAAGAGGAGGAGTGATGTGTGCTTGGCAGGTTGGCAGCAAGTGTCCGCAGCGTGATAATGGTGCATCTAATACTGATTGCATGCCTTGATTGAGGCCAGCGCTCGGCCAGGCCTGTGCTGACTGCTTCCTTGGACTTCACACTTCAGCTGCAAGACAGCCCAGCTTTTTTGGGAATTGCTCCAAAATGACTGATTCTCATTTTAGTCCCAAACTGAGAATGAGGCCCTATGAATCCTAACATGTGTTAAACTCTGTTGAAAATGGGCTGTTCTTCCTAGAGTTGGTCTCAATGGTGGGATTTGCCTTGAAAACAGTGAGGGATACAAAAGCCAATGGATGACAGGCAGGAGGTCCTGTTGCTCTGTTTCTTCATTATTGTGCCGCTTGGCTGCAGTCACAGGTGACCACCAAGTCACTAGCTGTTTGTTGACATATTAACTTCCACTGGGGGATTGTGGTACAGACTGACTGCAGGGGTGCTCTCTATTTCTGTCACCTCCTTTGTCACCTGGATGGGTGGTTGGGCCGGTGAGAGTACCCACTTGTGAAACTCCGCCTTCCTCCTCAGGCCAACAAAATCACAGGAAAACTCCTCTGTGTTAAAATACCATGAAGTTTTTCACTTAGAGCTACATAAAAAGCCAACGATCACCCACCTTCCGTAAGAGAGAGGGACTTCATTCTGTGTTCTAGAACTTCTGTGTATCTGTTCTGTCCCTGGAGCTAGAATAACAGATCAGGGAGAAATAATAAGTCAAAGGCAGGCAGGGCAAGGTGGCATACTCCTATCATCTCTGGGAGGCAGAGGCAGGAGGACCTAGATTTTGAGAGTAACCTGGACAAAATTAAGCATGAGACTTTATCTAGGCAACAAAATTAAAAGTCGAAGGCTCGGGCACACAAGTGGTAGAGAGGCTGTCTAGCGAGCCTAAGGCCATGAGTGCAATAGCAACTCTAGCCAGGGCCATTATCTGGGCTTCAAAAACCATGACTCTTCTGAGTGGCTATCAAATGGCTTTCAGTAGACTCGTGACGAAGAAGAAAAAGTGATTTGGAAGTATTCGAGACAGATTGCATCCATGCAGCTTATTAGAAACCAAGAATCAAGATGGTCTTCAGAGGACATACTTAGTGACTTTCTTTTAGATTGTCACTTTCAATTCTGCTTTCTGTTCTGTCCCAATGGAAAGGCCTCCTTCACCTCCTTACCCCTACCAGGCACCCCATGTATCCAGAATACCACCTGGAGTAAATAGGTCTCACCTTGCTGTGTACCTGGGCCTACTGCATACCCCAAACCTCCATCGACCTCCACTGTTGCACTCACCAAGAGCAGCAAGTTTGCTTAACTCCAGTCAACTCCTGTCAATTCTCAGGCTGTCTCCTTTGGTCCTCACTCCTTCTCTCCCACCATATTTCTCTATTTAGTTAGGCATGTACTTGTATCACACTACTCATTTCTGCCTTTTCCCAACCTGCATTGCCTACTCTCTTCTTTCCAGTGAGCTCTCGCTCAAGTCTCCCAGATCCAGAGAGCCTCTCCCCTACCAGTGTACCCCCACGTCTCCCTCCTTCATCTCCAGTAGCTACTGCCATCTCCACCATGCTTGGCACATGACTGCACTTCCTAAGACTCTTAGAGATCGTCTTCATATCTAAGTCCAAGGACAGGAAACTTAGTTTATGCTGTTTCACCTCTACTCTGTGGCCAAGCATCGAGCATGCACAAAAGTCCCTAATAAACGGTGAGAGGTCAGGGTGGTAGCCTTCTCCTGACCAAAGAAACACCCTTGAGGACTCTCATCTCCCCACTTTGCTTCTGGCACACTCCCAGTGCTGATTTCTGCAGAATCTTTCACCAAAATGCCTCTCTCCAAATGACTAAGAAATTGGCTCCATTGGCTTAGTTGATTTTAAGCAAGAAGGATCTGGATAGGGTTGGGAGGTAGAAGGGAGAAAGGTGGAAGGGGTGACATTGGTCAAGATATAGTGTACTTACCAACTGATATGCAGAGTTGAATCCCTTTGTAATCCACTTCAAGACAAATTAAAAATAAAAAAGAATCTGTTTTGGAGAGACAATGTGAATGAAGGTGGAAGAAAGTTAAATAAAAATAAAGAGACAACGTAAAGCAGTTGAGTTTGTATCTTTGTCTCTTTCCCAGCCTTTCTCCCTATCCCCATTCCCCTAGCTTTCTGTTTTGCTTTTCATGCCAACTGTTAAAGACGGTAATTTAAAAACTGAACTGGCTTTTCCAGAGACAGGAGGAATTTGCATTTGCACGTGGATTTTTTTTTTTCAACGAGAAAATCATTCCTCTCTTTTGGTTCTTCTTAGCCAGTAACAGTGAAAGTTCAGACAGTCTGAATCCATCTGTCTATCCATCTTCCCAGGTCTTATTCTAATTTGTTTGAGAGACTCCAAAAGGGTGGAAGGGAATGGTTTGTGTTTCACCATGTCAGGCTGTTGTTTGATGAGGTTTGTGCCTCATTTGTTCAGATGGTTTTTATGGTTTCTTTGTTGTTCATGGAAAGACTTTCAAAGTCATAATTCTGTATCCTTAAGCCTTTCTGCTATTCCTGCTCTATGTCTCTACAGGGCTTGCACCACGAGAGAGGAAATGAAGACACTTCCAGCCAGTTGTTAAGCAATTTCTGAGCATGGTTGTGGAGGCAGATGGATGGGCTTTTTCAAGAAAGGCTATGGATCAGTGAAGTTCAGATTCCATAGAGTATTCTCCAAGAAAATCTAGTCTCTAAGCCCTCCTAGATGCAAGCTTCTCTCTAGCCATTTCTGGACCATTTCTTGATCCAGCTTCTTTTCCAGCCACACCTCTGGCTTTCTCCCTTTCTCCAAAGTCATCAGGCTCAGCCCCCAATAGAAAAGTCTGAGAGTTCTAAGGCAGTCTGGAATGTGCTCACAACTCAGAGCAACATTTCAGTGCACTGAGACAGGAGGCTGGAGTTGGCCTCCAAGGAACATCAAGACCATGGGCTTTGACATTGATTTCCCATGAGACCTTTCATCTGTATATCCCCCATCTCTCCAGAGCCACTCCAGGACATTGCTAGGCAGCTAATGTTTTTGACAAGTTCTATAAAGTAATTTACATACATCCTATTCCTTGATCTCAGTATAACCCATAAAGTTGATAATGTAATGCAGGTCAGTCGTTACTTGCATATCCTTGACCGCTGGGCTCAGATAAGTCTTCTAATTTATCTAAGATCTCACAACAAATCACAAGATAGGATTTAAATCCATCTTTCATCTTAAATACAAGTTCTTCCCAGTGCTTCAGACAAGACTGAAATCTTCTCAAAATCAGTGTTAATTTTTTTTCTACCACCCCACCCCCAACCCCACAGGAGTTCACTTCAGGAATTTAGAGATACTTAAAAAATTCATTGCTGAATTAATGTTAATCTCTTCTGATCACCAAGATAACTTCATGTAACCTTCCTACAAAGCAGTCAAAGCTAATTGCTCCTATTTGTTGTTTTTCATTAGATCCTTCTTATGACTCAGTCAGGAGAGGAGGATGGGGTAATAACATGAATTCTGGCCTCAACAAAAGTAAGTAAATGTCATACCATTCCTTGGGAGGACAACATTTTTTCTGAGGACAGGGTAAAAAACAGGGTCATGAGATAAAGAATAAAAAGTAAACATTTGTTTCTATGCTTTTCTGAGCACATATCAGAATTCATTTTCAGGGGCTAGAAAGGTAGAGTTTCCAGGTTCAATCTCCAGCACCATAGCTGTTTTCAATTTAAGACCTGTTTCTTTGAAAGATGGTGTGGGATTAGACCTTTGAAATTCGCTTTGCTATACTTGGTTTTAGGATTTTTAATTTTGAAGGTTTCTTGGGACACATTTCCATATGAATGAAAGGTGACTGGATTTGAATTTCTGTTAAGGTTGATGAAAGGTTATTGACCTCTGTGACTTTGTTCCTTCAATTGATGATGCTTAGTCAGGTCGCACACCTGTCTGTACTAGATGGGAAACTGAGATAGAAGATAGCCTGACAGAGAAAGTGTAGGGGACCACCATGATGGTAGTTAAAGTTTATCCAATATCTTCCATTATGGGAATAAGGAAAGATGATGGTTCACGAATTCCTGGAGCCAAATGTATCTATCTTGCTTTCTCTAGAAAGTAAAAGAGCAAGTGGATAAAGGCAAGTGAAGGAAATTCTTTTAAGAAAGAGACTCAAATTATAAACAGTGTCCAGTCAGTAATTAAGTTCCATTTCTCTTCTGTGTGTTCATTTTAGACTCTGCACACAGCCCTTCACTGTATGGAATCACGATGAGTCAGGCAGAGGTGGTTCTTTAGGGAGGAGAAGGAAATGGTTGTACATCCATGACTGTATTCACCTGGGAAATACCAAGGAAGTGTGTAGATCTGCCACCACTCAAGTTAGATCTAGATGGAGAAGCATTTTTTGACCTAGAGAGAGGGGAAGACAGGCATCCCAGTCAAGCTGTGGGCTAGCATGGCAGATCATCAGGGAGGACCCCTGGTTCCTGGAGTTTAGAACATATGTGGAAAAGAAGCCTAGAGAAGTAAAAATGGGATTGGTAGCGAATGATGCTAAGAAGCTAGATTTTGATTCTTTAGGCAACGGGGCAGATTCAGGTGTCTGGACAGGGACATGAATGAGAGGTCAGTGGGAAGATAAAGGCATCTGAGAATGCCAGTCAGATAAAGCCACAGACCCTGCAAGAAGCAACACAGCTTCAAATGAAGAAGCTATGGTGAGCATAGAGAGGGTGAGAGAGAGAGAGAGAGAGAAAGAAAGCCAAGGGTGGAGGGAGGGAGGGAGGAAGAGGAGAAAGAGATATTCTGGGGGGAGAACCCACAAAACATGGGATCACAGGAAGCAGGTGATCTTTGCACAAATGCTGCCGTCTCATTAAAGATTGCCCAAATAAACTTCAAAACCCCAGTACTAGAGACATACTAGATTATTACCTTTTTTAAAAAAAATCATTTAGGGGCTGGGAAGGTGGCTCAATGTAGAGCGCTTGCCTTGAGCTGAAGAGCTGAGGGACAGCGCCCAGACCCAGAGTTCAGGCCCCACGACTGGACCCTAAATAAATAAATAAGAAAATAAATAAAGCTAAGCACAGTGGCTCAAGCCTGTAATCTGAGCTATTTCAGAGGCAGAGATCAGAGGGTAGGAGTTCCAGACCAGCCCAAGCCAAAAGAAGTTTGTGAGACTCTATCTCCACTAATGGCTGGACACACAAATGTCATCCCTAGCAACCCAGGGAAGCATCAAGTAGAAGGATCAAAGGCTGGTCAGAGCATAAAGTGAAGCCCTACCTTGAAAATTACCAATGTAAAGAAAGGGCTGGAGATGTGGCTAGAGGGGTAGAGCACTCCCAAGCTATCCTGAAGCCCTGAGGTCAATCCCCAGTAGTACCAAAATAAAATGAATAGCATGAATGCCAGTCCAGTACATGATGCCTCCTTCTGGAGGGCACTTGATATTCCTCTGCCCTGGTGAACAACCATTTACCTCACTTCCTTCTCTTGGCACAGGTCCTCCCCTTGGAGGAGCACAGACGATGAGCAAGAACACTGAACAGCGGCCCCAGCCAGGTATATGATCCAGATAGATGATGTCTCCTTTGCTGTGGATTCCACATAATCATTTGGTGGAAGATTTAGACATCTAGTTGGTCCTCCATAACTGCAGGTTCTGACCCAAGGCTTCAACTCACAACAGAACAAAAATATTCAGAAAAATGTTATATGTGTGTTGTACATGGCCAGGTCTTTTCTCATCATTCCATAAATAATATGGTGTTAATTTATTTTCCCATCACTTTCATCTCTTAGGTTTTAGAAGTAATCTAGAGATGATCCAAAGTCTACAGGGAGATGTGTGTAGGATCTGTGGACCCATGGTTCAAGGCCAGCTGAGGAATTAAAAAGTTCATGAGATTCTGTCTCAGTCAATGGTTTGGGTGCAGTGGTATGTACCTGTCATCCCAGAGACAAAGGACAGCACAAATAGGAGGATCAATGATCCACATCAGCCTAGAGAATAAAGCAAGACCCTATCTCAGAAACTATGAACAGGAAAAGTAGCTGATAGAGTGGCTCAAGTGGTAGAGCACCTACTTAGAAAGTGCAAACCCCTAAGTTCAAACCCCAGTACTACCAACAACAAAGGAAGGAAGAAAGGTAGGAAGGAAGGAAAGAAGGAAGGAAGGAAGGAAGAAAGGAAGGAAAGAAGAAAGGAAGGAAGGAAGGAAGGAAGGAAGGAAGGAAGGAAGGAAGGAAGGAAGGAAACCAAACAAGAACAAAATGATACTGTTACTTTTCTATAAATTTTGCCCCTGACCATACCCAATATCTTTGAGATCTACACATAAGAGCAGTAATGTTTACTGAAATTAGACTTTCCTAGGATATTGAAATAGAAGTGTAAAGTCTTACGTTGTTGTTGACACTGCTATGTTTTTTAAATAATAGTAAAGCAAATTTCCTTTTTGATTTCTTCAGATCCATATCAGATCCTGGGTCCCACGAGCAGCCGTCTGGCCAATCCTGGTGAGTTCACCTTAGCCTGCAAGCTCTTCTTTCCAGAATGCTCCCTAGCTTGTAAGGTTACAAAGACCTCCATCTCATATCTAGACATCTGACTGGGGAGTAAAATGAGTTCTTCATTTTGCCAGATAAGTCAATACCTATCTTATAGAGTGCAAACTAGAGGTTTGGACTTGTTTTTAGTTTGCTGTGTCTGCAGCTGAGGATGCTTCTGGAAATCAACTAAATTCGAGGGGAGGATTTTGAATATTCAGTCTATGATGACCATTTGTGGTTGTTAGACATGCTAAACAACCTGATTCCATTAGCATACATTGACTACATGTCAATGTACTGAAATGTCATGTACTGAAATGTCAACCTGTACCCTATGAAAACACGTGTCATTATGATGGTTCTGTTTTTGTAAAGTGAACGGCAAGAAGAAGTCGTCTGAAGGTAAATGACACAAAGTGGGTCCTTAGGAAGGCCAGGAAAGTGCATATGTAGGGAACAGGCTTTGACTTCTCCAGGCTGAGTTGCTGCTTTCTCCTCTTTGCCTGCAGGAAGTGGGCAGATCCAGTTGTGGCAATTTCTCCTCGAGCTACTCTCCGACAGTGCCAATGCCAGCTGCATCACCTGGGAGGGGACCAATGGGGAGTTCAAAATGACGGACCCAGACGAAGTGGCCAGGCGCTGGGGGGAGCGGAAGAGCAAGCCCAACATGAATTATGACAAGCTGAGCAGAGCCCTCCGGTATTACTATGATAAAAACATTATGACCAAAGTCCATGGTAAAAGGTATGCCTACAAGTTTGACTTCCATGGCATTGCCCAGGCTCTGCAACCACACCCGACCGAGTCATCCATGTACAAGTACCCTTCCGATATCTCCTACATGCCTTCCTACCACGCCCACCAGCAGAAGGTGAACTTCGTCCCTCCCCATCCATCCTCCATGCCCGTCACTTCTTCCAGCTTCTTTGGAGCAGCATCACCATATTGGACCTCCCCAACTGGTGGGATCTACCCTAATCCCAATGTCCCCCGTCATCCTAATACCCATGTGTCTTCACACTTAGGCAGCTACTACTAGAAGCTTAACCATGGTGGCCTTCCACTCTTCCCGGATACTTTGGACCCTAAAGGACCTATGTGGCCTCTGGTTGAAAACAAAACTGGATGTTCTTTCTTGTTGGATAAAACCTTTGTTCTTTAAAAAAAATTTTTTTTAATGTCATTAACTCTTGCTTCCTCTACCGAAAGAAAAAGATGGATCCTTCCATGGGCCAGTAGACCAGTTTGGATTCTTAACCTCCTATCATTTTTTTTAAATGAATGGAATATTTTAGATGACTGGAATGATTCTATCATGGTTCTAAAACAAAACAAAAAAAGAAGCTGTAAATTTTCTTTCTACTTTTTAATGACCAAAGCAGTTTCTTATCAACACACGGGTCTCATCATTGTAGGATTCAATACAATAATGAATCATGGACTTAACCAGTCATGTTCTGGTTCGAAACTAAGTGGAAATAGAGGCAGGAAGCTCAGAATCTTACTTTTAAGAGGACCAAGTTCAGTGGATGGCAACTGGAACACTGGTTGTAAGGCCAGTGAAGTTTTCACCCAACTGGAATTTAAAAGACATGACGTGTGTGTGTGAGTGTGAGTGTGTGTGTGTGTGTGTGTGTGTGTATTTATGAACCCATGGGCATCGGAAAATCCCTGTTAGTGGTCCATATGCACTCAGCTTATTGTTCTCTCTACAAATAGTCAAGCTTTGAACTAAGAAATTCTAATGCAAACACAGACATTCCTGAAAGACAAATGATTTAGATAACTATTTTTTGTAATGACAATGGGTCCCAGAACTTTGAAAAGTCACGGGGATTTCTAAACTCAAACAGATTCGCAAGCGCTGTGCGTTTGTTAGACCATCAGACCAGGGTCGACCAATCAGAAGGCATCTTACTGTATAAATTATGCAGAGTTATTTTCCTATATCTCACAGTATTAAGAAAATAAATAATTAAAAAATTAAAAAGAATAAATAAACGAGTTGACCTCGGTCACAAATACAATGTTACTATCAAATCAATCCTTGTTATTTTTTTAAGTGTAATTTGTACATCTTTTTTTTTTGTCAATCTGTACATTTGGGTTCTTTGTACGTTTTTATAGCTGGTTTTTAAAAAATGCATAATGTGACTATTGCTGAAAAGAAAACAGAGTGTCTAAGTCATTGACTTAATAGGAAAAAGAAGCACTGGTGATATTTAACAGCCATGCAGGGGCAAGAGCGGTCCATTTAAATCTTTAATGCTTTGGAAATGTGTGTAAATAACCGCATTGCAATAATCACAACTCTGGAAAGGACAACCAAACTTTCCCTTGTGGAGGCAAGGGATTTTCCTGCTCTATATATGCAATATATTTTTAGACTTTAAAATATATATAATTTTGCAGGTAATCGCTGACTTTTAACTATATTAAGTGTTAAGCTGACAACTGTCATGAAGACTATGTTGTAAAATAATTTGACTAAATAAATTGTGCCTTCTCTCAGAATGGAAGATGTTGTTTTCTTATATAGCTACTGCTAAGGCAAAGAATTTTGTCCAGGGAAGGTTTACTGTTTTCTTCTTGGGCTCTGAGTTTTTCCTAGGCCAGGCACAGTGGTTCATGATTATAATCCAAACTACTCAGGAAGAAGAGATGGGAGGATCACAGTTCCAAGCCATCCTGGGTAGAACCGTATCTCAATGCCAGACAGGGGGACATGCTCGTGATTTCAGCTACTTAGGTAGGTTGTGGATTGAGGGATATGAGTCTGAGGCCAGCCCAGGTTTGACCCTCCTTAAAAAATAATGAAAGCAAGCCAGGCACCTGTGGCTCACACCTAAAATCTTAGTATGCAGGAGGCTGAGATCTAAAAATCATGGTTAAATACCAGTCTGGGCAGAAAAGTCTACATGAGCCTCTTATCTCCAGTTAACCACTTATAAACTGGAAGTGGAGCTGTGGCTCAAGTGATAGAGCGCTAGCCTCAAGCACAAAGAAGCCCAAGGACAGCACCCAGGCCCTGAGTTCAAGCCCCACAACCAGAAGAAAAAAAGTAATGAAAGCAGAAAAGGGGTTAAGGATGCAGTCAAAAATCATAAGTTGTAACATGAGGCCCTCAGTTCAAACCCCCAAACCAATCCAAAAACAATTTTTCAAATGTAAATGCTGTAATACATTGGAAGGTACAAAAGCAATGTGGTTTTGCTTGTTGAGTGAAGTGTGTAGACTTTTTCAATTCTATGTAAGTCTTCTTTCAGTCTAAGAGAGTTTTTATCAGATGATAGCTAAGGTCACACGTCCAAGGAGCAAAGCAAAGTAAACAGGTCAATCCAGGACCTTTTTTTTTTTTTTTATGATTTCACCGTGTTACATACACAAAGTGCTTAAAAAACAACTGGTCAACATGATGACCCAATGGAGAATAAGATTCTAGCTTTCTTTCGGTCTCACACCAGGATTCTATTGTCTGCCCAGAGTTTTAAGATTTTTTTTTCCCAAAGGAAGAAACTTGTTTTAAATTGCTTCATTACACCTGGTGCTGGTGGCTCACACCTGTAATCCTAGCTACTCAGGAGACTGAGATCTGAGGATTGTAGTTTGAAGCCAGCCTGGGCAGGAAAGTCCATGAGACTAATGTCCAATTAACCACCAGAAAACCAGAAGTGGAGATGTGGTTCAAAGTGGTAGAGTGCTAGCCTTGAGGAGAAAAAAATAGCTTAGGGACAACACTCAGGCCCTGAATTCAAGAGCTACAACTGACCAAAAAATTTAATTAACTATTGGCTTGCTTTATTTTCCTCCATTTTTTAAAGAAAAAGAATGGGACCTAGAAAGCCCTTTGTGTTTCAAGGCCACTGGCAGCATTAGGAACCCTAAGACCTTCCCTGGTTAGCAGAGCTCCTTCTAGTGAAATGAAATGTGTTCCAAACCCTTGCATCCTGCCATTTAAAAAATATGCTAAGCACATATTCTAATTTATATTAATTTATATTTATCACATATACAATTGCTACATTAGTATTGAGGGAAGTATTCTACATTCGCATATTCAACCAACTGAGGGTTGAAATTATTCCAAAAAGTATTACATCCATTCTGAAAATACACATATACTCATTCTCCCCGCTTTGTCATCCATCCCTATACAAGACAGCAGAGCAACTACTTTCAAAATGTTTACACTGTATTTGGGGTTGTAAAACATCTAGGGAAGATTTAAAATATATAGAAGAATGCATGTGGGTTCTATGTAAATATAGTGCCATTTTATAGGTTCAAAACCAGCCAGGGGAAAAAAGTTCAAGAGATTCTTACTTCCAATTAACAAAGAAAATGCTAGAGTTGAGGTGTGATTCAAGTGGTAGAGCACCAACTGTGAGCAAAAAAGCCAAGAGAGATCTCAAGGCTCTGAGTTCAAGCCCTCCCCCCCATCCAAAATATGGTTGAATATCTTATGAAGAATGTTATATTTTCAATACCTGTTGCTTTGAAGCCTTTCTAATATCCGCAGTCATTAGGAATAACACTTAAAGTGATCATTGTTTTACTTAATAATTTCTTCATACAATGGAGCAATAAGTAGTTTGTTTAGTCCATGGGTAACCCATGAAATGTGGGTTCTTAGATAAGGTAATCCCAGGTTAGACCAAATGAGACCAGGAGAGTCTAGAATACTGAGGAGAAAACGAGTATCTTTCTACCCCAAGACAAGGCATTTAGCAGTAGGGAAACAAAACAACACAACGAGGTACTAGTGGCTCATGCCTCTAATCCTAGCTACTCAAAAATTATGGTTCAAAACTAATATATGCAGTTCATGAGACAGTTACATCCAATTAACCAGCGAAAAGCCAGAAATGAAGGCTAAGGGACAGTGTCCAGCCCCTGAGTTCAAACCCCAGTATTGGACCAAAAGGAAAAAGAGTACCATTAGCCCTTTGTATCAACAAATTTGACATCTGCAGATTCAACCATTAATGAAGCAAAACTAGTTTAAAAATCACATGCCTTAGTCATATGCAGACACTGTCTTTTATTTGTTCTTATCCCCTAAATAACATGGTACAGCAAACATTTAAGCAGTGCTTATACTGTGTTAGCTCCGATGAAATGATTCAAGTGCTATGGCAGGGAGTGTGTAAGTTCTTTGCAAATACTATCCCTTTCAAATAAGGGACTTGAGCATTCTTGATATCCTTGACTTGTCCTGAAAGCCTTACGCTCAGATTCCAGATGACTGCATGAGAAATCTGTGCACTTGCTTTCACATACTACGTACGTCCTTTGTTAAAAGAGTACAGTGCAAATATACTGCATGGAGAAATAATGAACACTATCCTTTGGGAGAACATGCTTGGAGGAGGCAGCCCTTGCGTGTGTTTCTCCACGGTCTAGCCAGCTTTTGTGCCTCTCTAAGCTCTGCCTCTTCTCCCTCACCAGTCCAGCTGCACGCTCAGGAGTGAGATGGAGGAGTGAGGGGAGGTCCAAGAGAGGGGAGATAAAACTGATTCTGATGCATACACAGAGTCTTTCCTCTTACCCAGGAAGGAACTTGTCATTAAAAAAAAAAGCACTCTGGATATTTCATCATGTAAAAAGCTACTGAAATAGATACTATATTCCTACAGCCAGGGAGTCCCCACTAAAGGATTATGAAAGGTCAGTTGATTTCAAGACTACAAATCCCAGGCTCCCTCAGGGGATAGACACTTCTAAAAGGAAGTGGGTTAGCCAGGCAACCCTCTAGCGTTTCAGCCAATTGAGAAAGGATAGGGGAGGGAAGCTTTTAATAGGAATGTCAGCTCCTAGGCCTGGGGTCTGTCTCCCTCTCTCACTTCTACTTGGCCTCCTGTCTAATTGTTTCAGTCTGTCTGAGCTGGTAAATTCCTAAGCACATAGTCAATTTACACTTAGCTTAAAAGCTCTAGGGGGAAACAGAAAAAGTTTCCAGTGAAACCATTCATTTACCTACAATTGCTAGATTAGCCTTCTGGATGTTAACTGAGTTAACTCATGTGTTTTCTCAGTAGGAGGAGAGTGATTTTTTTTTTTTGGTGGGGGCAGTGGATAAATGAGTATGAGTATAATGCCAGAGACTCTGGATTCAAATTCTGACCTTTGCACCTACTAGACAAGTCGTCTGCATCTATTAAGTGGGAAACTGAGAATTCTTTTGAGGTATTAGATGACAACATGGAAAAACCAATGCTGCACAGGAAGCATATAAATATATATATATATATCCAATCACTGGTATCTGCCAGTATTCGCCAGGCGTTCCCCCAAGAACAAGTCACTGGTAACTGTTGAGGAGTTCAGTATCATATAGAACTTGTTCTGTGGTCTGAGAGACATTTTCAAAATGAGTGAAAAGTGGGAGTAAATTGGATTTTCCAGTGAACATTTTGCATTTTCCCCATCCAAGGCACTCACTGTGAGTCACTTGGGTGTTTGCCCTTTGCTGGCTCCATCTGCATACAGGAGGCTGCAAATAAAATGAGATTTGTCCTAAAGGAATGTTAAAAATGTACCTTGTCAGAAATATTAGAGGGAATGGTCAATTATGCCAAGAAATAGAGACTGGGAGGTAGATTTTATGTCTAGTCAGCTTGGGCCCAAGGTGTTGTGTTTTTTTTTTTTAACACACCTAAAACCACCTGGTAGCTTCATAAGAAAGAAGATTGTATCTGTCTTATTTGCTATCATGGTGACAGCAGCCCACAGTAGTGTGATCTTTAAATATATAGTGAATGAATCTATAGGGAACGGGTGCTGAGTTAAAATGACCTGATCGTGAGTCTCAGCATCTCCACTAACTGAATTATGACTTCCAGTGGCTGGTCTTGGTTTCCTCATCTGTAACAGGAGCATCATGGTAATACCTGGCAAGTTTTTCTAATGAGAAAATAAGACCATGTAAGAGAGGATAGCCTATATGTTGGCTAGAATTACAGAAATGCAAGATGTTGGCTGGGTGCCAGTGGCTGAGGATTACAGTTTGAAACCAGCTCAGGCATCAAAATAAAATGATTAATGCTAAATATAACAGTAGTGTCCTGGGTTTTGTGGGGTGTGTGTGTGTGTGTGTGTGTGTGTGTGTGTGTGTGTGTGTGTGTTGACAGTCCTAGAGCTTAAACTCAGGGCCAGGCTGCTGACCTCTAAGCATTTTTGCTGAAGGTTAGTGCCTTAGCACTCAAGCCACTTCCGGCTTTGTAGTAGTTAATTGGAGATGAGTCCCACAGACTTTTCTGCCCAGGCTGGCTTTGAATCATGATCCTCATATCTCAGCCTCCTGAGTAGCTAGGATCATAGGTGTGAGCCACTGGCTCCTAGCCTCTCCTGTCCTGGGTTTTTATCATTCAGAAGTCTAAACAAGGCTCAGGTTCTTCTTGATGTAAGTTAAGAGTTAAGCCATATTGCACTATTCTATTGCATATTATGAATATACATTTCTGCACTACACAAAGTGAGCAATTTCATTATAATAGTTCCACACATGTACATAT